GCCCCGGGCCGGCGCTGGGGACGGGTCGCAGCCCCGGGCGGGGGCGGGGCGGAGCGGGGCGGGGCTGCCGACGGGTCTGGGATTGGGGGTCTGGGCTAGGGGAGGGGTCTGCGACCCGGTAGGGGGGCGGGGGCGGCTGGCCGGGAGGCCTCTCTGGGCCCCGGTCTGTCCCCTCGTGCCTTCTGGGCCCCGGTCGCGCGGGGACATGGCGACGCCCGAGACCCCGAGCGGGCGCCACTCTCGGCCCTTCGCGGCTCTGGCTGGCGGCTGGGTCCCCGAGCAGGGGCGGCGCAGCCGCGGGCCAGCCAGTGCGCTGGGGGCTGTCTCCCCGTCTCTACTGGTGCTCAGCTCTGCAGTCTCAGACTCGATCTTGGGGGCCTTAGGAGGGAGACTCCACACCGCAGCATTCCACCCCTCGGTTGGCGGTCGGGGGGCTCAGGAGCTACCTTTGGGCGGGGAGGCGCCCAGAGATCCCTGCACGACCCACAGTCACTGCCCCCACCTAAACTCCAGCAGCCTGGGGGCAGAAGTAACTTCTCTGCAGCTCCCCCTGGGGAGAGGCTTTAGATGGCGGCTACGGGCGCTCCACGTCTCCGGGGCCTTTTTCGTTGCACAGGTATACACACTTGCAGACGAGGCAGGGGCTGGGTACCTCGGAAGTGGGCTGCGGCATGGGGAGGGAAGAAGATGGAAACTTGGTTAGTATGCTTCCAGCCCCTTGCCTCATTGCTTCTCACCCCCATTGGTGGCACCCAAGAAGCCTGGGCAGGCAGAGGTGCCCTGGGACAAGTATTACCAAGGATCAGGCGCCTGGATCCAGCTCCTGCCTGCACCCGTAACCTCTCCCCACCCCATACCGCTGCAGGTGAAGAAGTGACTAGGCTCCTGGCACAGCAGTGAGGTTCTGCCCACCCTGCCCTTCTCTGTGCACCCGTCTTGTCCTCTCCAGGGCACACATGCGCACACTGCACCATATCCAGAAGGGAGTGTGGGAGAGGGCTTGCCCCAGTACATATCTCCTCAGAAAGCAGAGTGGGCCCTGTGCTGAACCTGCTCACTCCACTGGGCCTCAGACCTGGGGCAAGGACCACGTTTTACTAGCAAGAAAACTGCAGCTCCTGGAACAGCTGGGCAGAGCCCTTCTGCACCTAGTGTTCCTGGCATGAATGGATAGATGGATGGACAGATGGGGGAATCATGGGACACTTGGTCAAACCTTTCAACTCCAGCCCACGGACAACTTCCCCAGGGGAATTTTCCTGAAAAACAATACTCTGAATAAGCTCCACCTTCACTGAGCACTTCTGCAAAAGCTGAGCTGAAGTGTCTGTTCCACCATATTGGGAAGTGGGCCCACTGGGGAGACAGGCTGTGTGGGCTTCACTGCCAGGGCCTGGGCCAGCATGAGGTCTTCACCAGGCTCCGCTAGGGCTGCTGCTACTCTGTGGTCAGCCTCTCTGAATTGTCCAAGTAGGCAAGAGTGATGGTTCTTTGCTCACAGCTAACTTTATGCCCTGTACATAGCAGGGTTCTGAAAATGTAAGTGAATAAATGAAGAGAAAGGGAGGGAGGGAAGGAGAGAGAGAGAGAGAGAGAGAGAGAGAGAGAGAGAGAGAGAGAGAGA